CTCTATTTGGCATCCAAAGCCCTTCATAACCTACCCACATTTTCCAATCATCTTACACCCCACCAGTTATACTGGGCTTCCTTGCTGTTCTTCGAATAAAATTTCCATCTCCAATTCTGGGTATTTTCACTGGCTGCCCCCCTCATCTCTACCTCCTGGCCTCCTTCAAGTCCCAGCTAAAATTCCACATTTTACAGTTAGCTTTTCCTGACCCCTCTTAATTCTAGTGTGTTTTCTCTATTGATTATTTCCAACCTATCTTGGATGTAGTTTGTTTTTACAGTTATTTATATATTATCTCCCCACCATCAGAGTATCAGAGCTCCTCAAGAACCAACTTTCACACTTCTATGTATTTACAGCACAGAGCCTAGAAAGATAGCTTATTAAAGGTTTACTGACAGTAAGGGCTTTAAATGCTAAACAGAGCAATTTATATTTAATCCTGGAGGCAAAAGAATGCCATAAGAATTCACTGAGTAAGGGGGAGAGTGGTGGTTTAAAATGGTCAGACCTGTGCCCCAAGAAAATCACTTTGACAGACTGGACTTTTAAAATAGACTTTAAGCAGGAAGGCCTACAAGAAGGCCACTGGAACAATCCAGGTATGAGGTGATGAGAGCCTGCACTAAGATAGCGGCTTTGAAAGTGGAGAGATGGGTATGAATATGAAATGTTGTACAGATAGAAACAATAGGACCTGACAAAAAAAACTGGATACATGGAGTGAGCTCAAAAGAGAAGTCAAGAATGACCCGAAGCGCAGTGGACAGAGCACTGGCCTTGGAGTATGGAGGACCTGAGTTCAAATCTGGCTTCAAACACATATCACTTACTAGCTGTGCGACTCTGGGCAAGTTGCTAAACCCCAAATGCCTTGCAAAAAAAAAAAATGACCACGAAGGCTAGAAATGACACCAGGCTGACTGAGAAGATGGTAGTGCCCTCCACAGTAATAGAGAAGTTGAGAAAATGGGAGAATCCAAAGGCAAAGACAATGAGTTTGGGATCCTTTAAGCTGGAGATGTCTACAAATTAATCAGCTGGAGGTGTCCAAGAGACAACTGGAAATATGAGTCTAAAGCTCAGGAGAGAAGCTAAGGCTGGATACAGAGATCTGGGAATTATCTACAAAAAGATAAATGAGTCATGGAAGATCATAAGCTCATAAAGTGAGATACCCCACAAGAATCTCTTTCTTCCATGCTAGTTTTATGTTGTCTATCAGAAACACACCAACTACAGAGTTCCTCCAACTGTGAAAAGAATTGTTTGCATTTTGTGATTTAATATTGATAAAAATATTTGGTGTTTTAGATGCTAAAGAATATTTTTACGATTTTAAAATTTTTCTTTCTGTGAAAAGTTCGCCTTCAATTCAATGTTGTATATATTCAGTTCAATGTATTATTAATTTACTTACTTAACTTTTTTTCATAAAGAGCTAAGGTAAATTGCAGTCCAATCCCATTTCAAGTGACAGCAATTTAGATGAGAGGTAGTGTAGTGTAAAACTGTTTAAAATTTGACATAACTATAAAAATCCTACTTCTCTACTGCTGCTTAATTAAAAAGCATTTAGTAAGTATCTACTATATGCCATTCTAGGAGCTGTAAGTGCTACAGATGCTCTTCTGCATGCTTCAAAACTTGTACAAAAACAAAATCAGAGTCCCTCTCCTCAAAGAGGGACTCCCACTTTCTAGAAAGGGAGAATATGTACACATTGAAGAATATAAAAGAATAGATAAATGTAAAATAAATATAAGGTAATGGAAAGATGGTGGTACCCACTACATAAATAGTAATATAGACTAAATGATTTTTCATCAATTTATTTGAGACCTTATGTCTGGTAGGAAGTTGAAAACTAAAATTCCTATTTTTCTAGTATTCTTTTCTGCAAACTTTTTTGTCCTGTCATTTTTGCTTGCTATCAGCAAAATACCTAAAATGCACTGATATAACTGTTACCTTATTTCCCAATTAATTTCTGGAAATCAACTTTTGTCATTACTAAAAAAAATCACATGAAACCAACAATCAATATACTACTATCAAGAAGTCATTCTTTTTTTCCATTGATAAGAACTGAAACAGAAAACTATTGATTTTCTTTGGGGAAAATAAGGAAGAAAGTACCTAATACTTGACATTCAGCAGTAAAATGTCCCCAACAACTTTAGCGTAGGAAGAATTTAAGATTTTTGCATTTAAGTTATAAAATAGATGAAGAAAATTTAAAATATTTTAAGTTAAAGTTTTTGGTACTAACAATTTTTAATTGACTAAAATAATTACATTAAGTTACATGTTTTCAAAGTAAAGACAATTTCATCATAGATATCAAGCTGGAAGGAATCTCAGAGACCATCTGATCCAAACCTCACATTTAGAAAAGAAAAAACTAAAGTCCAAGGAGGTTGGGAGATTTGTCCAAGTTCAAACACATATTATTAAAAAGCAAATACTCACTACCTTAAATACAGGTTATTACATTTGGGAAGTTTAACACAACTTCATATAGGAACATAAAATTATAACTACACATTTCTTTGTAAACTGGCCAAAACTGAGCTTGAATTTTCCAAACCTTTTAATTTGGTAAGTACTGTTATAACTTCAAAATATTTTTTTTCTTATACAACAGTCAAATTCATGATACAGTATCACCTCATCTACTATCTCAGCTCTCCTTCAATCTCACCAATCCAGAATAGATCAAGAATATGAAACTAAGTAGAAAATATCTCTAAACAATTAAAACATTTTTCATAAATTCCATGCACTAAATAAGGTTTATTCTCACATTAAAGCTCTGCTCAGACCCTCACTCAAAACCTATTTACTCTTACTTGACACATTATTTGAATAAAGACTTGCAGAAGAAAGTTACATGACTTCCAAGCCAAAAACAAATTAGAAAGGCAGAGGTTCTCCTACTATGAGCAACAGCGACAACACCAGAAGTGACAGCCTATAAGCAAGAGAAGAGATAGCAAAACTATTCAAAAACAAAACTAAACAAAGAGAAGTCTGAGGAATAAGAGTCAACTAACTTCCCCACAAACCTTAATATGTCCTAGGGTCATCACCATATTATAACACAGTAATTAAATGCTCATTAATTAAGACCCTAAGTCACCTTTAAAAATTCAAACTACGTTCTGTGGATTTTGTTTAAGAAATCAAAGGAATACAGAATACATTTTTGAAAAATTTCCATTCAAAAAAAGTTTTTTAAGTGCTTGACCTCAATATTTGGTTGATATTAAAAGTTACTTATATTTCTAAAGCAAAAGAACAAGCCAAAAATTAACATGAAAATAAACAAAGAAAACTTCTATTCAGGCATGCAAAGAAAGTCTGTAATTGCTATGCTTAAAACATCTAACAAAAAAGGAGGTGGGTGGACAGGACGCCAAAACAACATTACTTTATATTCTTCGCTTGACAACGTCACTCATTATCTCCAAAATTTACTGGTTTGGATCAATACCTTTATCAAGCACAAAGGATAGTTTATTGGTGTTCTGCACCCTTTAAAACCAAAAAGCAACTAACTCATCTCTTCTGAACACTTAACAGCTAAGTCTGTTATCTTCACATCATTCAAACTGAAGACTCAGTTTATTCCTCAGATTTTATTTTATACTTTGTATCACAGCAATAAAAAAAAGGAACATTCTCTTACCTCTTAAAAACTTCTTAGGTACTTCAGTGAGTTGTGGATGTTCTTACTATGTATAAAACTTTTTTTCTCATAAAATACTTACATGATTTAAAGGAAAAAGCAATCTAATCCAGCCTACCCAAACACCTTGACACCTGTAGCCCCTAGGAAACTAGAAAATATTATGAAAAACACATTAGAACTAGAACTTTTTCTTTCTAGTAAGGAAGCTCAATTCCAAACAGGAGATCTCTTCTCAAAAGTTTCAAAATTTAAATCACATCTCATCCCAATAGAATCCTCAAGAGGATATCTGATAATTGCCAACAATTGGCTAAAGTCAAAAAAACCGACGTAAACGCCTATGTCCTACAGGCATCACTTCCATGGAGAAGCAAAATTCTGAATAATTAAGGGACATTTTGCCAGTCAATATACATTTTCCAAAAATATTTTCTAAAGCGAGATTTCTTAAACTGAGGGGTCTGTGACTTGGATCTTTCTTTTTTAATGTTTTGATAACTATATTTCAATATAATTTCAACAATTTCCTTTGTAATCCTATGTACTTTACATTTTGTGAACGGATCCAGAAGCTTCACCAAACTGCCTTGACACCCACTTCTAAGAGATTGCTGGATCTGTTAGTGGAATTATCTCAAATGAGGGACCATGGAATGATCCCTAGGTTTTTTTTTCTTTCGATCGCCCTCCCTTATACTACGTGGACTGGGAAGGGAGGAGGTAAAGGGGCGGAGAGTAGTGTAGGTGCAGGGCGGGGGAAGGAAGAGAAGGAAAAGCAAAATCCTTAAAGGGTTCGGGGTTTGTTTCATTTGGGTGGTGGGAGGGCAGAACAGGGGTCAGCCACGCTCAACCATTCCCAAACCCCACTAGATACGCCTAGGGAAAAAAGGTTAGATTTCCAATGGGGGGGGCAGAATAAAAAATTAAAGGAAACGAGGCCAAATCCCTAGCACCAAAAATTCCTATTTGAGGAGCACGATTTGTAAGGCACAGAAAGATCAAGGAGACTGAATGAAACCAGTAAAAGTGGGAGAAGCCAAGGAGTCATTTAAATGCTTCTCATTCCAAGAAAGGATAAAGACGAGTCAGTGGGGGCAGGGGGAGAATGCCTCCTTATCCCAAATCAGTGCCGAATGCCCGGGTCCCTCACTCCGACAACAGGGTCTGACGGGGGGGGCGGGGTATAACTCCCTCTCCTGTCTCTCACCCCCCCCAGCAGAGCAGGGGACTAGGGCGGAGAAGCGTGTCCCCCCCCCCCGAGCCGTCCCCGAGGAGGGGGGAAGGGCAGGGAATGGTCTCTCACCCATGCTGGGGGCTCCGGCGCGGGGGAAGCCCGATCGTAGCGGCTCCTCCTTCTCTTCTTCGGGTAGTGGCTTCGTGCGGCAAGAGCCGGGCTTCAGCCCCAGCGGGCGGTCGGAGTGCGGGGGCTCAGGCGGGGCGAGGCGGCAAGTCCATCCGCCCGCGTCTCCCTCCAGCTGGTCCAGTCAGTTGAAGAATCTGGGAAGGAAGAGGCGGCGGCGGCGGCGGCGCCGGAGGAGGAGGTGGTGGTGGTGGTGGTGGTGGTGGTGGTGGTGGTGGTACTGGCGGTGGTGATGGTGGAGGTGGTGGCGGTAGTGGTGGTGTGATGGGGTGGTGGTGTGTTGAAGGTGGCGGTGTGGTGGTGGATCCTGCTATTCCACACCCTGAGCCGGGGCAGCGGCGGCGGCAACCAAACGCCTTGCCGTCCCTCCCCCCACCCAGCCAGCTCCTTTCGCCCTCCCGGCCCCCTCTGGCGGGTAGGTGGGGAGGTAGCCGGTCCCGAGCCCGAGGCTGCTGCCGCTGCCGCCGCCGCCGCCGGCGTCAGCCAACCCCTCCCCTCTCCGACTGCGGTGGAGAGGAGCGCGCGCTCAAGCTCTGCTGACTTGAGAGCCGGGACGCGGCCGCCGGGAGAAGGGGGTCGAGAACTTGTGGAAGGTGGGGGAAGTCTCGCGAGAACTCTTTTTTTCCCTCCCCCCCTCTCCCCGAAACCCCAACCCCCACTCCACCTCTTCAGTTACTACTACCGCCCTCTCGGCAGTTGCCAGGTGAAGTGACGTCACGTCCCCGAGGTTCCGGAGCCGCGTCCGTGAGGTGGGGGGAGGGTCCGCGAGCGGCATGCAGGGAGGTTGGCCATTGGAGGGGCGGGGGCGACGTGACAATCGATGACGTCCGGGCTGAGAGCCCCCTGCCCAGCCGCGGCCGGGCTCTGAAAGTCTCAGGATCTTTTGAGAGGAGAGGGGAGTGGGGATGGTGAAGATGGCCGGGATTGTTTCTCCCACCACGCCCCATGTAGTGTGATCCGGCCCGGGGGAGTTGCTGCGGGCAGGAAAACTGACCCTTCCCTGCCCCAGTTTGGCGATATTGCCTTCCTAAGGGAGGACGGAAGGTGACCCACAAAGCAAGCAAGAGGATAAGATTGGGGTGCGAGGCAGGCCGGGCTGGCTCCCCTGAGAACTCTGGAGCCCCGGCTTCTGCCGGGGGGAGCCTTGTTAGACCCGGGGCCGCCTGATATTTTGTCCTAGGACACGCACTGTGGGCACCAGTCAGGCTTTCGTGGCATTTAAAATAAATTACTGGAACCTCTTGTGCCATTCGACCCAGACTCCTCTCTTCCAGCCAATACTGTAGAAGAGAGGCAGCATTTGGGGTCAGAAGACCTGGATTCAAACCCTGCCCTTGTGCCAAATATTCGATTCAATTCAATAAACTTTTATTAAGTGCCTACTGTGGGACAGACATAGTGCTATATATTGATATGTGTATATTATGTATATATTATACTCATACATGAACTGTGTGTGTACACATATCCATACATATGCTTAATATAAAATCTTAGTCTAATCTCTCCGAGCCTCAGTTTCCTCATCTGCAAAATGATGGAGTTGGTTTTGGATGACCTCTGCAGTCTGTAAAATGAAGGAGTTAGATTCGAGACCTCAGTTGTTGACTTCTAACTCAAATCTATGATTCTATAACTGCTTAGGACCTTCCCTCTGAGATTTCCCTCCCATTTAAGCTTAAAATATTTTCTATATACATTGTAGTTTTTGCTCCTTGAAGGCAGGGGCTGTTATCTTTTATTTTTTTGTATCCCAGGTCTTGGCACAGTGCCTGGCCCATAATAAGCTCCTAATAAATACTTGTTGATGATGATGGTGATTTCTTTAAAGTTGTGCTTGGATTAAGATATTTAGATTAACACAGTGATCTTAAAAATAAAAATAGCCCTAGACTCAAATTTAGAATAAAATTCGGTGAACTCATTTTATCTCTCAAGATGGAAATATGATTATTGTGATTATTAAACAACCATTTTAATAAATGTGGCAGGCACTGCCCTAGGTAAGAATACAAAGACAGAAGGAAAACAGTCCTTCCCTCAAGGGGCTTACATTCAATGGGGAGATAACATGGGCATATGTAAAGATATATGTATGTATACATATGTGTGTATGTTAATATATGTGAATAACAAATACAATATAGTTTTTTGAAGCACTAGCAGCTCTGGGTAATCAGGTAGGGTTTCATACAGAAGACAGTGCTTGAATTGAGTTTGAAGGAAACATGGGATTTCAAGAGGCAGACATAAAGAGGGAATTTTACAGCACTGCAAAAACAGGAAAATAGGAGATAGAGTGTCTAGTTTGAGAAACAGTAAGAATGTCCATTTGGCTGGACTATATATGTGTAAAAAGGAATAATGTATTTTAAGTCTTGAAAAATAAATTGAGACTAGGTTATGAAGGACTTTAAATAACTGGGAGGCATTGTGTGATAAGCAAAATAGCCCTTCATAGAACTATAGAAACAGGTCACTTTCAGATTTCTTTTGGGGGGGGGGGCTGTTCATACCAGCTCCATTAACCTTTGACACTAAACATTATTTTTTCAGGCACCTAAGCTTAGTTTAAGATAAAAATTGAGAAAGGTAAAAAGATTTTTCAGCACCAGATATGTAGACAGTCATTCAAATATTCATTAAACATCTACACTCTACTTGCCAGGCACTGTGCTAGGCACTGTGGATACAAATGAAGAGAATGAAACATCCCTATTTTCAAGGAGTTTACATGGAAAGTACCAATTGAAAGAATGAAATAATCTTCCCACTGTATAATTCATTTATTCGACAAATATTTATTAAGCATTGTAGAATTAAAACAATCTACTTTTACATTTTAGCCAAATCTGTCAGACACATTATTAATTAAATGTATAAAGACCTTTTGGGAGATTCCAACCAGCCAAGTTCTTCTGGCTAACTCAAAAGAAGATCTCTTTCCAGTCATTGTAAAACAAAACATGAAATTCCACAGCTATAGCAAAACAAAAGTCCATACTTTCTGTTTTTAGAATTACTAAATAAAAAGATCAATGTCAAAGTCTTCCTGGAACTAGCTTCTTCTAAGGACTCACTCTTTCAATTTGGTCAATAATAAGAGGGCCAACTTTATTTGGTTAACAAAAAAAAAAGTCATTCTCACGTTTAGCTTGTCCACTATAGACTCTATTGATCTAACTACTAGGTCTGCCTCCTTTGGGTAAGCTTCACCAGACTGCCCAACAGAGCCTAAGATCACACACACACACACACACACACCACACACACAGAGAAAGAGAGAGAGAGAGAGAGAGATTGAGAGATTATGGATCCTAGAGCTGAATGTTCTCTAAGGTCCCGAATTTCAATTCTAAATCTGTGATCCTCCTTTCCTTAGTTTGGTCATTCTTGGCATTCCTCACCCTTGACCCACTGGCTGTGGGCTGGGAAAGTTTAACCTGTGCTCCAAACTCCAGTCCTGCACCATCATCACCACTACCACCCTATCTCTTAACCTATCCTTTACACATTCTAGTAGAAAGGAATGTTTTTCTCTCTAGACCCCAAAACTAGCTCACCTGAGTTTTCAAACCATGTTACCTACTTTACCTTAAATGAAGATCTCTACACACTGGCCCTTCTAGAAGCTTCTTGCCCTTTCAACTCACCCTGGGATGTTCTGCTGAGACCCAAAAGCAAATTCTGCTATCTAAATCTCTTTAGCCAATTCTTTCCCATATGATCTCACTTGCTGCTTTCATAAATGCTAGTGTGTCCCAGTCTAGGCTCTAGTTATGAACTCGTGTTCTTAGGTAGAGAGCTGATAGAGTTTGAATACCATTTCTGTGTTCTCAGCTAGGAATCCAGGCAATTTCCTATCTAAGTGTGAGAGCCACTAACACAGAGGAGAAGAGAGAGGGGATTCTGAAGATTATAAATTTTTTATTGTTACAGTAATAAAATTGTATGTACATGTTAAAGGAGTATCAAAATATTCTCACACACAGTGGATAGAGCTCTGGCCTTGGAGTCAGGAGGACCTGAGTTCAAAACCAGTCTCAGACACATAACACTAGCTGTGTGGCTCTGGGCAAGTCACTTAACCCCAGTTGCCTCACCAAAAAAAAAAAAGCAGGAAAATATTCTCACCTAACTTGCCACCTTTCTACCTAATAATCTAGTAGGGTCAAAATGTATCCTTCATTAGGATAGGGACTGCTTTTTTCCCTTTCTTTGTATCCCCAAATGCTTAGAACATTGCCTGAAACATAGTAATCTCTTAATAAATGTTTGTAGACTAGTTGACCTAAAGAGTGCCAGGGAGTGACAAAAGATATGCATAAGAAGATAGCTTAGGACCAAGTGGTAGGGACCCTGACTAACACGGCCAGAAGGAAGATGCATGTCATGTGAAAGCTAGGAAAGAACCTGAGGAGTAATCTGAAATGTAGAAGAATGAAAATAAGTATGATGCCACAGAGGCCAAAGGAGGACGAAGTCTTAAGGAAGAGATGATCAGTTATAATGATGCAGTTTTGGGGTTACTTAAGAACCCCAGCATCATGGTTTGAGGTTTCTGGGAACCCTGAAATGTCAGAGTGCAGGGTGGGTCTGCCTGGAAAGAATCCAAGCGCTCAAGCCTTCTTTCAGTCAAAGTGGCAAGGTTTTATTGTAACACCAATAGGAGCCAGTGAGATTCTTAATGAATCTGCAACTTAATGGAGGTGAGACTGATGCTTATATACAAAAGGACAGTGAAAGGATATGGATGCTGGATGGAATTAAGGAGAGGTAAGTAGTCTGGGGTAGGCCAGGTCCAACACTGAAAGGACTATCAAGTAGGCTAATTAGGTGATCTAGATGGGATTAAGGAGTGGTCAGTATATGCAAGTAGTCTGAGGTGACCAAGAGCTACAGTGAAAGTAAGGTCAAATAAACTAATTAGGTGGTCTAGGTGGGCAGGGGTGGGCCAGATGCCTTGGGCAGAGGCCAGTGATCTGGGCTGCTGAAACGTATGGGAAAATTTAGGTCCTGGGTTGCTTTCAAAGACATGGTCTTTTCCTTTTACGGGCCAGGTCCCATCACCCTATCAATAATAATAGCTAAAATTTCTGAAATAGTAATGAGGTAGAATAAGCATTTTGTATTATAAGCATTAGTTATTATAACCCCCTCTCTGGGGCTCTCAAGCTTTTGACTTATACTCTTAACCTTTTCTCTTGTTCCTTCTTCC